ACGTGGAGTCAGGCCTCAAATTAAAGAATGATAATAATGATAATAATGCAGGCTTTTCAAATATGTAACTACCGTATGTTATTATTTCCCAGATGACGACGTATTGACACAAAATCTTTTTGGGAGGGCACGTCAAATGTGACACGTAACGGGGTCATAAAACAATAAGCAAGACATTGACAAATAAAAGGTCGGAATGACAGCTCTCCAGATCTGTCATTATCCTGTCAATATGACCGATGCCCTTCAAACCGAATTCCAGTGAAGTGAAACATAAATAAAAAACAGATATAATGATTTTCAAATCATGTTCAAGCAATTTGAGAACTGAGGACACTTCATTGTTGGAAGCTTTGTAGGTGGAATTCCTTCCCATTCTTGCTCCAGTTCAGCTGTACTCATAGCTGCTCTGCCATTGGCTATTACCTGGCATCTTCCTGGCATCCCATTGGCTAAGAGGGACCTCAATCGTATGTGTGTAGCTAGCTAGCTAGATAGGTATGTGTTATGCAGCGTCCTCGTCATTCACCCTTCGAGCCGTGAGGTGTTCCGATAGTTTTACGTCAATGTGAATCACCCAGAAAAAGTGTTCCCCACTCGGGCGATTGCCCACTCTGCTGATGTTTGCCTTGGACATTGTTGAAGGATTGTTAAAAGACAAGATGAGCAAACCTTTATTTGTCTCACAATGGAGAAATTTACAGCAGCAAACTTATGAAAGGGAGAAAGTAGAAGACAAAAAGTATATAAATAAATATAAATATAAGCATATTAAAAATGGGTCCAGGTTTTCAGGGCCGTCTATTCAATAGCCTGACAGCAGCGGACAAAAGCAAACGTCCTTGGATCAGTTCTTTACAAAACGGCAAAAACCAATTCTGACAGAAAACATGAACTAGAGAGGGCAAAAAGTGAAAGGACCATCCTTTTTTATTCTTTATTCTTTGTTTTTTAACATTATGCACGACTCTCTTTTATTGTGCAACAATCTAATCGTAACATGTATTCGTTGCATATTTTGATGCATTTGTATGCTTTAGAAAATGTCTGATTGTTTTTATTGGAACGGATTAGGGCATTTATCTACTTACAAAATTTTCCAGTTAAGAAATTTCTTCCAGAACCAATTAATTTCGTAAGTCGAAGTACCACTGTATGTAACCATTTGGTCAATATGCCCTCATTTGACACGGCAGCCCGCATTACACAAGAAGCATGTTGTAACATCACATGTATTTACTCTTGCCTAAAAGTGAGCCCCGCTCTGAGGTGCAGCCTGCGTTCACCATGACTGGAATAACACTGCCACTTAGTGGTTTCATCATCTCCTCCATGTGGAATGAAGCAGAGAAGACTTTGCTTTTTTTCAAGCGCCACAGGGAAAACAAAGTTTTCATGGGAAAAAAAGTGGTTGTGGGGGGGCAAAGGCTGGTCTTGAACTGCATGTCGCAGCCCCCGCAACGCTATTTATTATTATGCAAGTGCTTACTTTTTAAAAGGCAACTTTTCCGCCCGGGGGACGGCATCAACATTTAAATAAAGACGTTAGCGCTCTGATTTTTGTTTTATTGTCATTGTCTGTGATGTGACAAAGCTGTGATGTGTAGAAAGGACCTAAAAACCATGCAATGAACTTGCTTTAATTACCAGGTCAGCCGTTGTGTGGTAATTTCCGCTTCAAAATGGACGTCACAGACAATAAAACCACATGATGCCACCCAGCCAATCAGCAACAAGTGCTAAAAATTACAATCATAATATCAGTGTAAAATTGAAGTGATAAAATAGGTTTCTGAATTTGCCGTTTACGTCCCAGTTCAAAATTCCCTTTAATTCATCTGAGAGACTGTTTTAGAGTTTTCTGGAACATCAATCATATTTACCCTAACAATGTTAGATTATCTTCAAAAATATCCTGGGAACACCAAACTGTTTACCTGCTTTGGTGCGTGCTGCTGTTTTGGTTAGCAACAGAGTTCAAATGAGCTCACCCATTAAAAAAAGTGAAAGATGGCATTCTGCATAGCGTGAGGCCTCTGCAGAGCAGCTTTTTTTGGGAGGGTTGTTGAATGTTTTGGGGTTTTTTTCCAGCTCAACAAGCTTCCGCGGAGCTAATGAAGCCTCACCGCCGCCCCCATGCGCCCCCACCGCCACTCCCGTCCTTGCATTATTTCCGCGACTAAAAAAGCTCCCGTATCTGTCTACGCCCCAGCGAGCCGCTGCGCACACACGCAGTAGATGGAGAGCATGGAACTTCTCCGCGGAGGGTCAAAAGGGTCTACACGAAACATCTGCTGATCCACCCCCCCACAACAGCTCCCCCCCCATCCCCATGCCGTGTTGCGAACGCGCCACCGCGCTGCCATGCGGGTAAACAAACATGGCGGGAACCAAATTGAATTACTTCCGTCCGTCAACAACCATGCGGATCGGGGGCTCAGACATGTTTGCTACCACAGCGGAGACAAAAATCAGCATGCCGTGAAGTGACCTCAGTTCACAGACCATCTTTGGATGAACTCGAATGGGTTATTTTTGGCTTTTTCTTTAGCTTCCAGGGGACACTTGATTTTTTATTTTTATTTTTTTTAAACACCGTGTGCCCATGAAAAATGTTCAGAAAAAAATGAAGTTGACTTATTTTTACACTTACATGACTATGACATCAACTTAGTTTTACACTTCCTTTATAGTTAATAATATTATCGGGAGAACGTAACTTAATTTTACGCTTCTGTCAACATTATGAATGATATTCATGTCAATAAACTAAAATTACATTAAATGTCATTAAATTAAAATAATGACACTTGCATGACCACTTAAGTCTCGAAAAAAAAAAAAAATATATATATATATAGAAAGATTATCATCCCTTTATTATCATTATTATTATTATTTATATACTTTTTAAAAAAATGTTTGATCGCATTTTACACATGACCATTTTGGTCTTTTTTTTTTTTTTTTTTTACACTTGTATGAGAGTTCCAAACGTGTGACTTAAAAAAAAAGTGTCTTTAATATCTATTTTCATAATTTTCTATAGAGGTGGTGGGGGGCATGCAGGTCAGATTTGTAACAAACAAAACTAAACAAAAAAAAAAAAAACAAGAGTAATGCATGATAGTAAACTACATGCAAGCATTAATGCATGATAGTAAGCTACACGCTAGCTTTAAGCACACAACAATGGCAAACACGCTCGCAAGCCATTAAAAGGAAGCTCGTGTATTATTAAGTGTGTTATTAATTCATGACGGAGCCCATCAGCGATAAACACGTACAGCGTATGTCATAGACGTAAACGTGAGGAGATAGAGGAACATCTCCGCATTTTACGCCGTCTTGATTGCTTAGCCTAGATACAACATTATGGATTATTCTTCTCCTTGCCTGTCGGGTTGCAGCGATGCATCATGGGGGCAAAGGCTTTCTAAGTTCTCTCGCTTACATTAAAAAAAAAAAATAACCTATTGTGTTGCAGCAGGAATCCACGAGTCACTGTTTTTTGCAGGGAGCCCCCCAAATACTAACCAATTTTGTGGCACAAACTCAAGAGAGTCGAATGATGTCATACATCAAGGCACGTTAGGATATCGAGATACGTAACTGAACCTGGGATAAATCTGATGCCTTAGCCCTGCTGGTGAATCAAAACCTGATTTAGCCTAACAAACAAATTTGCTGCAGTTTGCGGGCTGAAACAAGTGGTATGCGATACTAAATAATTTGGTATCGATCCGATACCAAGTACATCCAAGGCCAGTATCCCCAATACCAATACCGATACTTTTTAACATTTGGTTCATGCACCATCAACAATCTCAAATAATTTTCATGACTTTTGTGTGTTTTATTTTGTAGAAATTGTATCTCTGAATTCAATGTACAACCACCAGGAATGGTCGGACAGCTGTTCTGCACTGTGATTGGTGAGTCTCCGTTTCTTGGGTGTGACTTCGCAAACATCTACTGTAAGGTAAAGGTGAATATAGAAAACATCGAAAAACTCTCACACAGCAGAAAACAACTATAAGTTAAACGTTTAGACTATTTGGAACATCATTTGCATATGTTTTGTGTGTTATTTCTGTCTAGGAAGTGTTTGCACAGAGGAAGGAGTAAAGGTATATTCCTGCTAGATGTGCAGAAAGATTGTCTTCCAAACAACAGAGGACTTATTCAAAAACGTTTTTTTTGTTTTTCTTAATCACAGCAGAATTATTTATGACAGCTTTATTGAACACGGAGATGACTTGACAGCTCTCAGATTTGTGCGGTAAACAACATTGACAGTGTTGATGAAGGATTTTCAACGCGTCTTCCTAAAAATATCACTCAATGGCATTTAAAGACGCCACCGGACAATGAAACCGACGGGCGATTTGTTGCACAATGAGATTTTTACACCCACAAAATCCTGGAAAAATAGCAGCGGCCATTGAGGCGTCAATCAGCGGCGAAGCTAATGTTTTGTGACGTGAGGCCACACTCTCGCTCAATCTCGATCGTTACGGATCTCAAAACGCCTCGTTGGACCTAGGAACCCAGTGCAGCTGTCAGAGAAATGTTTGTGACGGTTCGCATTCCGCACGGCTGCTTAGCGACTCCCACGGCCTTTCTTTTCTGCCTTTTTAGCATCGATGTTGTCGCGGCGTGAATGGGCGTCATGACCTGAAAGCTGACGACACAAAACGTATTTTTGCTACAAAGAAGTGTGAAATCTCAATTAAATTAGACTTGGAAAGAGTAAGAAGACAGCGTGCTTGGGATATAACTTTTAAAGGGTCATTCTGGAATTAGATGACCTTTTCTTTCCCTCATTATGAAATTTCAAAAAAGGCTAAATAAGAAACATGCACTTTTTGTGTCAGTTAAGTCCTGTTTCGTGGGTTTCATGAATCACTGGCCTTCACATTAATGTAAAATATTACCCTTACATTAATTACGCGGATGAATTCATAATTCATCGCGAATGCATCGTGTGTTTGATATTTGTATCATCTTTTGAGCGGGCAAATAGTTTGGGTCACGTGACAGGCGCCACACCCGGAAGCAGGAAGTTCTCGCTGCACCTGTCACCAAGTTTCACTTTTCGGAAATTGCTCTCACCAAGTTTCGATAGAGAAGAAAGAAACTGAACTCCGCCTCTGGTTATTTTATGTCGTCGGTTGGGGTGAGTGAATACGCTGCTTATTCATCTCCTTCATTTAAAAAAAATCTCAGTTGTTAACGCTTTTCATTGATCAAAGACTTCCATGGAGGAGACGACGGCGGCGGCTGCTTCAGCGCCCGTGCCCGCGGCCGCGGCGGCGGCGACTGAGATGGAGAAGCAGTCCAGCACAAAAGCCGAGGAGCCGGCGACGGACTGCGGAGTGAGCCGCTGTCAGTTCGGGGACCCGTCAGGAGAGCCACCGCTGTCTGTAAATCAGTTTAAATGCAAGAAGTTCTTCGTCCTCAGGGTAAATTGTGATTTATTACAATACGGAACATTTTGAGCCTCACGCAGGAGCCTCACGTTATAACCATAAAAAAGGCACACACACCAACATTAACCTTTGACTTTATGCTGTCACCTCACCAAAGGAATTTTAATCACGTTTTTATTGACTATGATTTATTTTTATCTTTTGGAGGGGGAGCTGACTGAACAAAACAAAGTTATCACACAACTAAATGAGCACTCTTCAATTTTTGTCGTTGTAATGTGTGAATCCAAATGCCAAAAATCAAAGCATAACCAAGAAATGAGTATCAAAACAAAAACGTTTATTTTTAATTTATTTTTTAAAATTTTTTTGCAAGAGAAATTAATGGCAATGCAAATAAATTACCGATACAAATATTATTCTGTGTGAGTGTGTTTAGTTTGCGTCTCTTTGAGGACCGTTTGTGGCAGTAGTGACATATCTCGTGTGTCTGTTTTTCTATGCAGCCCGGCACACTGCACCAAGCCATCAAAGAGGTTAAAGTTCTGGTGGATCCGCAAGTTGATGGCAACATTCTTGGCATCTGGTTACTGGCAGAGTGAGTTCACTACGCACACATAAACACACACACTTCCTTTTGAGGTATAGGCTCTCTTCTGCATTATATCAATTAATAAATGCAACCATTAAGTTGGAAAATAATAGAGAAAGAAAATATGAGCCCCACTGTCCCATCTGTACTGTAAAAATCCATCTGAAACTATCGCTTAAAAAAAATCTACAGTAAAGCGGCGGTGTAAACCGTGAACCGCAGTTTAGTGAGAACCACATTTTGGCAATGTTTGCTAATGAATTTTTAAAAAATTAAAAACTAAGATGTCATATGTACATGACTTCATGTTTGATTTGTGCCCTGGCTGTCGACTGTGATTTTATATAGACAGGTGTGTGTGTGTGCCTCTCTAAATCATATCCAGTCGACTGAATATAACCCAGGTGTGCTCAGATTAAGCACTGGAAAGAGCTGCTGAAAAATGCCCAAACTGAAATCCAAGAAATCAATGTTAAACTGACAGGTTGTAAATAGCAAGTGCTCTGGCGGGCGTTAGTGCTGTTAGCGCCTTTTTTTTTCCGCCCCTCAAGCTTTCAGGAAACATTTGAAAGGCACAGCGAGCGAGCAAGATTGAATAATAAATAATATAGTTTTTCCCAATACAGTTTGTCCTACATTCGGGTCAGCAGGTTTTCGCAGCCGCCAGATTCCTGCAAAGCTTGTAGTGACCCATGTCGTCGACGTCATGGGACCTTATGTTCACAGAAGCTGCTTCGTTTCTTTGCCGAACCTGCCTCGTTAGTGTTCCAGTACCGTATTTTCCACACTAAGAGGCGCACTGGATTATGAGGCGCACCTTCAACGAATGGCGTATTTTGTAATTTTTTTCATACATTGGGCGCACCGCATTATAAGACGCAATCTACAATGCATCCACTAGATGGAGCTACGCTCAAGGAAACACCAGCAGAACGATCAAATGTCAGTAAAACGTATTTAATAAATTAGCGACACAGCTCACTTAACCAACCGCAAGTTATAACATTGACTCTTTAACGTTGAACTCTCTTGCCGCTGCTCTATTTCCGTGTTCAAGTGTGTAACCGATCGCCTCAAGTTTGAACTCTGCGTTGTCTCAAGCAAGGAGCCATTTTGGGGGCAAAATATTACCGTAATGACCATACACAAGGCGCATCGGATTTGAAGGCGCGCTGTGAGCTTTGAAGAAGGCTTTTAGGTGTGCCTTTTAGTTGTGAAAATACGGTAGTCTCTTGACATGTTGTCCTTCTCAATGTTGTTGTTTATGTTCAAGGGAGCTACACCATTTATTTGCTCCGCCCAGTCTGCCTCCTGCTTGATCTGGAAATAGCCGAAATTCTAAACCTCCTGGATTCTTGCAATATCTCACCATTTTGGAAATAATTATAGGCAATTTTATTACATTTTGAGCTTCACTTTCAATTGATGTCAGAATCAATACACATTGGTAAAATTGTTACCGCTGGCAGATGCCTCTTCTCATCTGCATTAGCGCCCACTTTTTGCAGGCACACCCTGAACAGTTTCAGCTCCGTTTCAAAGCAGGAAGCCAGACGAAATGGAGGCCAAGCAGAAATTCCAGAAATTCACTTTCACTTTGACCAAACCGGTTGGCAGCTGGAATTTTGTTGCGCGTTCAGCATGTCCATTGAAATGTGTTAGGCACGTTCATGCTTTGAACTTTACCAAAGTGCTGTGAAGTGTGTGTGTATTTTGTTTGTGGAGCTTTTGAACAACATCCACCTTTCAGTCCTACACAACCGAACGCAACAATCAAATCGAGGCCTCAGTTTGTTCCCAAGGCCTAACAACAGATGCCGAGTCCCGATCTGATCCCTCGTCAATACGTTAAGAAGAAAATCCGAGCATGCATCCCCCATTGCCCTCAACTGTTTTAATTTTGATGAAACTAACTGCATCCCGACATGATATCTTTTGATACGTCTGCAAGTCGAGTGCGGCACTCTTTTTATAGCGCATCGGTGGTTCAGCACGAAATAATGATGCAAACAAATTAAATAGCCAGTCTAAAAATATAAAAGATTATTCAGCTTAGTGCAGTCGCAAAATAAAGATCTTGAGCAGTGAACACCAACATTGTTGGAACAGTTCCATGAGAACAGCTCTACTTTATTCTCATATCGCAACTTTTTTCTTGGGGGAAAAAAAATGCTACTTTTGTCTTATTCCCCCACCCTCCCCCCCCCATTTTATCTTGCAAAATTCACACTTCTTTTCCACCAGTGTCCCAATTCTTTTGTCATTCATGTCACCCTGTGTCAAAGCTTGTCACGCTTCCTTTTTTGTTTTGTTTTGTTTTTGTTACTCGAGGTTGCTAACATGCCCGGCGGATATGAAACCCTCTTAATTTAGAACTCTGTATGTTTGTATTTGTATGAAATTGTTTCCCACCAAAAAGGAGCAAGTTCTTTTTCCATTTCAAAAGGTGAGTAGCTTAATTTCCCTCGCTTTATTTGGTTGGTTAAAAAAAAAAAAAAAACGGAACGCAGGCCTTCGAAACACTCGCATGCATACTTGATGATCTTTTTGCCGTGGGCATTTTGTGTGAAATTTTCGAGCTTTTATAGTACATAATTGAGCAGCCCTCCGATGGCATGTTTTTTGTATTAACCTGAAGCCGCCTCGTGCACTACTAAATTGCTAACGGTAGCGTCTTCTTCCAGCCTTCCACAAAGCACAAAAAGTCATTTCCCCCCGCCTTGGCGAGGTCCAATTAGAGAGTTTTTAAAGGTAAAAAGAGAAGACGTCAGACAAAACAACATCAATCATCCTGTCAGTGCTCTCTTAAGTCATTAACGGAATAGCCAGCATGAGAAAAAAAAAACAACAACAATTTTCCCATTCACCAAATGATTGTAGCTGGTAATTGCTGTAATTTGTGCTTGCTTTTCCCACTTTGCAATTAATCGAGTAAAAATAAAGGGGAAGAAGACGCTTCTCTGTAGCCGTCATGCCGAGTCCTGTAGGTTGAGAAGCATACAACATCGCAAAGTGGACAATGTTAGCCATGTGAATTTGACTTAGCGTAAAAGGTCTTTGATGCCTCTGCCTCTCGAAAAATGGCCCGGAGATTCGAGCGGCGAGACAAAGTCAAAAATGTTCAATGTTCATCGGAGAACTCAGAAGCACTTTTAAAACTTTTGACTTCAGAATTTGGTCACAGGACCTCCAGGCTGATCCTACAGGGGTGTCAAACTCAGTTTTGGCGCGGGCCACATTTTAGTTACCGTTTCACTAGGAGGGCCGTTATGACTGAAACCATATAAAGAAGTCAAGAATACCTGTTGATTCAACTCTTGTTAATGAGGGGTTTGGTAACAAGAAAATGCTTAGAATGTGTCTCTTATTTGTTACATATGAGAATTAAACATTTTGGTAGGCCTTTTAGAAAGCATCATGGAAGTTGACATGTTTGAGCTGCTTTCGCGGGCCACATAAAATGATGTGGCGTGCCGGATCCGGCCCTCGGGCCTTGAGTTTGACACCCGTGCTCTACTAGAATGGGCGCACGGCAAATCGCAAGCTGCCATTAAAATTCGGATGGGCGCACGGCAAATCGCAAGCTGCCATTAAAATGCGTGAATTTTAAAAAATGTCTTTCATTTGAATTCATTCATTAATCAATCAGTCACAATTAACGTTGAAGATGCAACCCTCGTATTTTTACAAGATTTCAAAAAAAAGAAATTCTTGTATGATTCCGACTTTGTTGTCCTTGATTAAAAAAAACATACCGAATGTGATGCATTGGTTCCGTAATAAAAGTTGCCGTGACCCGGATTCGAACCGGGGTTGCTGCGGCCACAACGCAGAGTACTAACCACTATACGATCACGGCGAGCTGTCCAGGCACACTTTGCACTCACGCTGCATGAACGTGACACTCAAGCAAACACGGCGTGTTTGATTTCAGGGTGGATCACTGGAACAACGAAAAGGAGCGCCTGGTTGTCATCACCGACACCTTCCTGCTGGTCTGCAAGTACGACTTTATGATGTTCCAGTGCGAGCAGATCCAGAAGATCCCGCTCAACATGGTGGATCGCATCTGCTACGGAAGCTTCACCTTCCCGCCCAACTCCGTACTTTTGTAAGTACCCAGAACCGCGGAGACGCGCGACGTGTCCGTGGTTCAGTTGAGTCCATCGCTCCTCTCATCTGCCTCATTGTTAGCTTAGCTTAGTGCGCCCACTTGAACGCCGAAGCTCTTTGTTGGCTTTAAGGAGCTAATTAAAACATTTTGAAAAAAAAAAAAAAAAAGTCCCTGCCTCGAGAGTTTCCAAAATTCCTTGTAATTATCCGGATCATGCTCCGCTTTGCTTTACACAAAGAAACAAAATCCCCTTTGCTTCTGCAGCCAAAGGGTTTCTTTTGGCATCGTACCTCAAAAGTGCCAAGGAGTGTTAGGGATGTACTTTTTTTTTCGGGAATTGGTTACAAAAAGATTGTCTTTTTTTTTTTTGTGTGTGTGGGTAAAGGATCTTGTAAGTTTTCAGCTATCATTTTTCAAGAAAATATTCAGTGTGAAAGCTCAACTTGAACTGCACTCGATTGCATCTTATTTTTCCACCCAAAAATATGACTTTGTCCTTGTAAGGTTACGACTAATTCAAAATAATTATTTTCTATCAAAATAAGACGACTTTATACTCGTGAGATTATGACCGTTACAAATAAATATGAAAACCTTTCAAAACAAAATGCCACTTATTTTTTTCAGGGGAAAAAAAAATACAATTTGATTCTACAGAGACTCTAAAATGAGATGGGGGGTGGGGGGGTGAAATATATTTCTCTAGAAAAGTTTCTCATTAGAACATTAGAACGGCACTTTTCTTGTAAGGACGAGAGAGTTTCTCGTTTGGACAAAAAAGGTTTCCCGTTTTAATGATAGTTTCTAGTCCTGATGAGGAACATATTTCAACTTTCTTTTTTTAATTTAGATTTTTTTTTTCTTTTTTTTATGACATGGTCACTTTAGTGCCTCTGCGTGATTCTCTTTGTGCTTGAAAAAAACTTTTGGGTAATTCGACTATCCTCAATAAGACACCACGTAATTCTCATACGATTTTTTTTCCCCCAAAAAATATCACTCTTACTAGTTGTTATTTATTTTGTTGAACAACTTGACGTCAAGCTGGTTCGGTGGAATCGGTGTCCTAATACCTGAGCATTTTGCAGACCAGTCTTGAGTTTGAACGTACCTTGTCAGTGCTTTTTTTCTTCTAAAATCCTGGAAAAAGAATACGATTTTTTTTTTAAGGCCCCCTTAAAAAAAATAACATGCTTTTCTCCCTGAAAAAAAATGACATGATGACTCAAGATTGCTATATTAAATATAATCAGTTACATAGAACATAAAACATTTCTTTGAAAAGAAACGCTTTGTTCTTTTCTAAGACACTTTTTTTTAAATTAATCCTCGTAATATTGTAATAAGAAAAAAAACATCATCAAACATGACTTAATTCTTTTTCTCCTGGTAAAAATACAACTTTTTTTGAACGCTTTTCTTTTCCTTTTCAGCGTGACCCGAATACTTCACCAACCTTCATTCGGTCTCACAAAACTGTTTCAAAGTTCGGATAGTACAACTGTGACACGAGGCGCACGGTGTCGACGGGTTAACGCCGTTCAGACGAGGCGTCGCAAGAGCATGTGGAGAGTTTTTTTTTTCCTTTTCCTCCCTCTCCCTTCTTTCTGGAGCGGTAGGAAGTGCCGAGCTGTCACTTGGAGCTGTCACTTAGCTGATTAGCGGCTAAAATGAACGCGGTCCTTTTGATGTGAACCTTTTTAAAGGCGGCTCGGGGGACAGCCCGGCGACGCCGGTTAATTTGATGAATAAAATGTAATGCGCTGTGAAGAGCTTAAAGAGCGCCGTCTTTATTCCGGGCTTTATCTCGCGCGCATTCCCTTAAATTATACATAAAAGAGTCGGCGGAAGACGCCACGGGACGGTCGAGGGAGAGAGACAGATCCAAGCCAGGACGACGTTCTCGCTCCTCTCCTCTTTTTGTCCCACAGGAAGTGTTCTTCATTTTGCGACGAGGTCAATCTGTCACCGCCTCTTATTTGGCGGGAAAGTGATCTGTGGGAAAAATGAGTCCTCATCCACACAAGTTATGCCGATAAAATGCCAACTTTCTTTGCTTAAAAAAAAAAAAAAAAAAACTGAAATACAATAATTGACTTTTTTGTGGTGTTTTTTGTTTGTTTGTTTTCGAATGTGAGTTTAAACAAAGGGTTTGAAATTTGGGTGTCAAGCCTGCATTTGAGTTTCAAATTTGGTCCAGTGGTTAGCGCGTCGACCTCACAGTGCAGAGGTTTCAATTCCAGCTCCGATCTTCCTGTGTGGAGTTTGCATGTTCTCCCCGGGCCTGCGTGGATTTTTTCCGGGTACTCCGGCTTCCTCCCGCATTCCAAAAAACATGCATGGCAGGCTGATTGAACACTCTAAATTGTCCCTAGGTGTGAGTTTGAGCCCGGATGGTTGTTCGTCTCTGTGTGCCCTGCGATTGGCTGGCAACTGCGGTGCAAAGTGCTGTGGGGGTTCTGCGTGTATTTTTAGACGTCACCATTTTGTTTCCATTGCGCACATTTGCAGGTGTGCTCAAAGATGTTTTTAAGTGCCGTCTAGACTTGCTCATTACCTAGCGCGTCACTTTTCCCCCACTCGCTAAAAGCTTTGAAGATCTTTTTTTTTTTAACAGAGGACCAAACGGAATTAAAGTCCATTTTGTACTTTGGTGATTAATGTAAAAAAAAAAATAATAATAATAATAAATCTGCGGTGAGTGTCCGGAACAGAAACGTCAAACAAGACACCCACCCCTCTTTGATTAAAGCTCGACAAGCAGATGTAGTTCATGGAGTCAGTCAGCAGAGGCCTGTAAGAGCCCAGCAAAATAAGTCAAGCAGTCACACATTAAGGTTTCAAATGACGTTTTTTTTATTTTTTTTTGTTTTTTGTTTTTTTTTTTAAGGCAGGGTGACTTTGTCAGGTTCGCATTTCAAATGAGTTTCAAGTAAGTGTTTAAAGTAAGGTTTCAAACCAGGATTAGGGTTTCAAATTAGCCTTTTGAATTGGGGTTTCAAAGTAGGGTCTTGACAGGGTGTGGGGTGCAAAAGTAGGGTTTGAAGGGAGAGTTAGATGACCAAGCCCGGGTCAGGGTTTCAAATTAGTTTCAAATTAGGGTATCAAACCTGGGGTAGAGTTTCAAAGTAGCGACTCAAGACATGGGATGAGGTTTCAGGAGAGAGTTAGGGTTTCAAAGTAATGTTTCTCAATCTGGGTCAAAGGAGGGTCTCAAGTGATGATTTAAGGGTTAAAAAGGGTTTTCAAACATAAGATTTCTTGCTCGGGTTAGGGTTTCAAATCAGGGTGTCATGTTTGACTTCGGTTTTAAACGATGGTAAGGTGACCAATTATGTTTTAAAGCTGGGTCAGGTTTTTCACTACATGGTAAGGTGACCAATTATGTTTTAAAGCTGGGTCAGGTTTTTCACTACAGGGTTAGAGTAATAAATGATGGTGTCAGATGATGGTTTTAAACCTAGTTTGATGTTGACGCATGGCTATTATTTTAGTGAGCGCTATTTGATACTCTTCTATTGAAACTCGCTTGACAGTGTTCACATTCCTCCCATCCGTTTTGGCAGTACCCCTTACTGCCACCAGAGGCCACCGTTGCTCTCATTACTGGATGTCTTAGCGTAGCTTTGCAATCAGTGCCACATTGAAGAGGCCTGATTGGTGCTGCACGTGTCCATGAAGGGTGCCTCCATCTGATCTATTCAGTTGTTTTTTTTTTTAGGCTTTTCATGCTGCAAGATAACAACTCCCAATCCCCGCTTACTGACACTATACCTGCTTTGACCTCATTTTGATAAATGTGCCGCTAAAGAAAAGATGATGGCATATTAGAACAACAGTACGTCTCCAAAAGCAAGTGACAATAAACACGTTACATTCCTTAAAAGCACAAAGTGCACACGGGGCTTTTCCTCCTGAATATTCAGGAATGTTATAAATGAATCAAGAGAACTAAATAAGTGATGCTCCTGGTGTACCGATCTAAATTGATTCACCTCAGGGACCCTAACGTAAAACCTCTAAAGCACACGTGTCAAATTCAAGGCCCGGGGGCCAGATCCGTCCCGCCGCATCATTTTATGTGGCCCGCGAAAGCAAATCAAACATGTCAACTTCTCTGAATATTGCTCAAGTCTGTACCAAGATTTCAACTTCTCATACGTAATAAGTAAGCGAGATATTGTAAGAGTTTTCTTGTTACCAAAGCCCGAATTACACTAATTTAACAAGCGTTCAATGAACCATTCTTGACTTCTTTATATGTTTTCAGTCATAACGGCCCTCCAAGGGAAACGGTCACTACAATGTGGCCCGCGACAAAAAGTGAGTTCGACACCCCTGCTTTAAAGAACTAGCCCGTAAAATTAATTCCAGTGCCTGAATGCAGCTCCCTAAAGTGAACACAAACAAAAAAAAAACAAACCAAGACCTAAACGTAGCACCTAATCCTAACCCCAAAACCAAACCCTGACCCCATTTCAGCACTAACCATACCACCTTCGCCCTCAACCTGACCCCTATCACCCCGTACCTCATCCGAACCACTATATTAAAACCTAATCCGAAAACAAGCACCAAACCACTTAACTCTCCTCAACCCCGGTCGCCAAAATCTAACCTTAACCCTAATCCCTAAACATAGACCTCACACATAACCCCTAAATGTTGCCCCAATACAGTAGCATCTCACCTTTTCCCTAACCCCGGCACAAAAAAAAAAACCTTCCCTCATCTTGGCACCTTACCCCTACTCGCAGGCACCTTACCCCTCTTGCCTGTGTTGTTCCTGGCCCGCCGCTCCACACCCTCAGTTGGATGTATGCACCCATGGGCGGCTGACAAAGCTCCAGGCGCTGTTGAGCAATCAGTGCACATTTGTTTGTTCGCCCCGAGACAATGTGGGACACTTGCCATGACAGCTGGAGCTGCACTCTATTTATCTTGCGTGTTGACTTACGCGTCCGAAGCGCTTGAAAGCCCACAGGAGGAATTTTTTTTTTTCTTTCCCATCACTCGCCCCCAAGCTCAGAATACAGTGTTTCTCTTCGTGTATGTGCACACTGCCGGATTAAGTGGAGCGCTAGGTGGGGGAGGGGGGGTGGGGTCAGTCAAGGGTGGATTTCCTTACCTTCCTCACCTTCCTATCTTCAGGTGTAGGATGAAGGATGACATCACGAGGTCATGGAACCTCAAGTCAAATGGACGACGGAAAAGAAAATTCACCCCCCGCGAAGCAAGTTGAATTTAGTCATTTGAAATTTGGTCGCTATCGTGAGTAGACCCACCCAAAAAAAAAAGTCTCTAGAAGCTATCTTAACGCCAGAAAAGACACTTGAGGTCCACCATTTTGGTTCAAGCAGACATTTTAGGATTTAGGATTCGGAAATCGTGTCCGATTGTTGTTATTAAATATGATCCGTGGACCACTGTGAAATTCAGTCAACATGTCTGTCAGGGGTTGACCCATAAAACAAAAATCACGCAGCCAATCCTGAAAAAAAAAACAAGCAAGTCTGCCATTTTGGTTTGACACCAACATGACTGAGAGATTTTATCCGATTGCTACCAAATTTGCACCACCATTTTATGTTTATGAAGCTGCCATTTTAGGATCAAGATCACTTCAAAGCCGCAGTCCATCTAAACTGACTTGGGGGGGGCGACAGGTTGGATGCCCCCCCCTCTCCCCTCTGCCCTGCACTGCTTGAGCCCCTTAATCTTGAGATCATATTTTATACCCATCCTCGCATGGTTTCTAATTTGCACTTTGCTTGGATTGCCAGAGGCCAAGGCTGTCTCTTCAGTCGCAGTGAAAGTCCAAAACGCCCGCACCCTCCCACTTTTAAAGCCACTGAAGACGTCCAAGGCCTCTGGCTGAAAAAAAAAAAAAAAAAGCCCCGCCCTGCTCTCTGCCTGTTTGGGCTGGTCTGGCTCGCCGTTGATAGCTTACCTGTGGAATTCACAAAGCTTTTTTTTTTTTTTTAAATATATATATTTACATACATTCCCATTTACACGAGAGCCATAGCTCAGTGCACTCACAAAGGCCAATGTGTACCCACCAAACCCCCCCCGTCCTCACTTGCCTCTGAGGAAATGTAATCAGTCTTTTGAGACCAGGCTTTGCTTCTTTTTTTTTGTGCCACCTTTTACTTTCCTCCCCTCCTTTGCACAGAATGTTCCTGTGCGCCATTGTCATTGCTAAAAGCGCTTCTGTAAACACATCTGGATGGTTTTGCGCGATGACGCTGCCCCTCCCTTGCCCACCGTGGCATACGCTTGCGAGGTTGCGCCGCTGTTGTTTGGCCTCGGGGGTTGTTTTAACCGAATCTTATGCAAGGTTCTTTGATAAAATGAGCACATAGCCCGATGACGGATCATTCAAGGCATCTCGGTTCTTTGGAAATCGGCTGCATTCCGGTTTGTTAATCCCCATTTTAGGCCACTATTCACCGATTTGTGCTTCGACGTTAGAAATCTGTGTAGCTCCAGTGAAGCCCCGCTAGCATTTTATTTGATATTCTAAAATATATTTAGAAATTGTTTTCTCACCCTTTACCCCCCCCAGCTCCTTAAGAGGAAAAATCCTGAAGCCGTCCCTGTGACAAGGTTTTATTTACTTATCAGGTTTAGGACGAGGTTCAAGAGTTATGGTTAGGACGAAGTTTCAGGGTTAGGGTGTGGGTTGCGGTTAAGGTTAGGTGCTAGGTTTTGGGATTAGATTTTAAGGTTAGGGTTAGCTTTAAGGGTTAGGTGTTCGAAGGGCTAGGTTTAGTGGGTAGGTTTTTTTTGGTGGGGTAGGCTTTGGTGTTAGGTGTAGTGTGAGGGTGAGATGAAATTCAGAAACCTTTCCTTTGACTTTCAGGTTTGCGTGACTAACAACACACTGCCACATTGACTGTAAACGGTTTTGTTTTTGACGTTCTGTTTTTGAAGGGGAGAGCGGGTGTGCCAAATCTAACCGATGAATCAAATGGTATTTATGAGTGTTGCGTAACTTCCAGTCAACGATGCTAGCTAGCTCCAGGCTTTTAGTCATTGAAGTAACCTTTTTTTTTCCCCCCCCAACAATCTTCAACCCGTCGTAAATATTGTAGCATCGCTCTTGATTTTTGAACTTCCTGTGAACCTCCCAACAAAGGTAGCGTACCCCTCCGATATTACGCTCAGGCTTAGAATACATTTGATGGACAAACACCACGCCGAGTTGTGTGGAACATTTCAAAGACCTGCGACTCTGGTAGCCCTCAGTCATCAAACGCTTTCTCTAGCCTCGAAAAGACGGAGCCCGAGGGCTTTTTCATTAAAACCTTCAGTATTTTCCCCTTAAAAATGAGCGCGCAGACAGAAGACGAAATATGACGAACACGCCGTTGATTAGCTTTAAGTCTCAAGATCACGTTCACATAATGAGCGTGCCCCCGAGTGCGCTAATGCCATTGAATACCGACACATCTACTTGTCCCCTGCAGGGAAATCATGAGAAGTGATGAGAAAAAAAAATTTGAGCTATTGTTTATATATTTCTATGTAATATTTCTACTGTATTTTGACTGAAACACAAAAATAGGATTTGCTCCTTAAATTAAATTCCAAAAGCACTTTCCACATTTTAGGGAAGCCTGTAAGACACACACACACACACACACACACACACACACACACACACACACACACACACGCACATTGATAAATATTTGTACATACACCCACACACTTCAATATCCTGACTAGAGTTGGCAAACCTTCTCTCCTCTGCAGCCAGCCCAAAAATGGTCATATCAAAGCTGTTTTTATTCATGAAACCTTACATGTTCAATTGAAACGGCGCATGAAAGGCTCTCAAGAATTTGCTAAAACGTTAGCTGAGCAAAAACGGGAGTGAAAATGAGTTGCCTTGATTTCATGTCAGTTTTAACCGGGGGCCAAAAAGTAATCATGCTCAAAATGTTTACAACAAAATATGTGAAAATACGAAAACATTGAGCCAAAAAAAAAAAAATACACAAATACAGTCAAACCTCAGTTTTCGTACGTCTCTGTTATCGACCAAATCGGATTTCGACCAAAAAGATTTTTACACCTCGGATTATGACCGAAAACCGGTTTTCGACCAAACTGAGCAAATCCGAATACGCCACTCGACTCCTCTCGGCTTCCATATGGCACTTCCTGGTGGCACTGTCAAAATATTTTGATGTTTAACGCTCTGATATTCTAATTTTGTGTGATCAGCCGCGAGGGCGAAGGCTTGCGGATTTTCTGGGACCGCCTGAGGGAGCCGTCCTTCATCTCCTGGTGGAACCCCTTCGCCACCGACCTTCCGTACATGACCTTCACGGAACATCCCGTGAGGAAGATCAGCGACGCCTTCGCCTCCATTTGCCACGTAAGTTTCCAAAGACGGGGACCGGGGTGCTTTTGAAGCGCAGCATGGCCTTGAGAGGCGCCGCCGTACAGTTTCGCAAGCTGCATAAAATCCCAAACAGGGGTCGTCGCGGGAGCCTATCCCTGCTGACTCAGGGCGGAAGGCAGACTACACCCTGAAATGGTTGCCAGTCAGGCGAGTATACCACTACGCCATCAGCGACGCTCGATTCTCTCCCATCAGTAAAAATTATTGTGTAACGCAAATAAATCACCATCTGCCTTAGATGTTTCACTATGTGGCCACCTTTTTATGCTTAAGTTAGAGAGGTGTGTACCAGACACACAAATACTCTATTGCATCATTAAAAAAAAGAAGAAAATAACAGTCTGATGAAATGTTTTCATATGGAAGCATGATTCATCTCCGATAAAACTCAAATGGAATGCTCCCTGAGTCATTTAACCTCTAAGTAGCGTTCATAGAAGAATAATCAGTCAAATTGTAAATGTCGAGTGTATAACGTGCTTCTTTATCGATGACCTGCTCCTTTTGCGCTTCAAGATTATTTATTGGTAAAATAAGGCCTGACAAGAAATCGAAAGTCAAATCGGTGATGCGTTGCCAAATTCAGAGGAGATTTCATCACGGCAAAGGTGATGAATTGCGCTAATTCGCATGAGGTGGAGAAGAGAATTGAGCAATCACAGCCATGGCCACCTGAGCCGTGTCACAACATTTCAGCTCGGTACAGAGAAGACGTGGAGGAGGAGGAGGAGAGTGGTTTGTTTGGCAAGGTCATTAGAGACCTTTTCACCAGCACATCACATGTGCTTCTGGGTGGCAAAAGACCGTTTTTTTTTCCTGCATGGCACCAATTCGTAAGCAGCCCTTCTCTGTCATTTGAAGAAAGAAACAGAATGATTGAGTGTCCCAGTGCTTGTAAGGATTTTTGGGGGGAGGGGAGAGGATCTGTTTACTGCTGTTGTGAGCTCATGAACCAGAAATGCAACCGTTATGTTTCGAATTTAGGTAGCTAGGTATTTTTTCACAGTTAGCCAGTTAGGCTAACGAGGTCTGCGACATGGTACAGAGAGCTTTGACGGTGTTTTACAGGCTCTATATAAATATAAGCTACAGTATCTGTAATCCAAAACGCTAACACTCTGTTACCAAGGTGAGGTGTAGTTTCCCCATCCACCGTTAGCCTAGTAAGCTAACATGGCTAGCAGCTTGCTCCGAGTTGTAATGTTTATATCATGCCTATTCCTTTTAGCTTTATAGCTAGCTAGCCAGCTTTACAGGAAGTAGACATTGACTAGGCATCTCTGTTTATCACAATTTGTGTTTTTGGCATCGGTCATATCTTCCGTATCATGTTGTCTGCAGATGGAGAACTTCCGCGAGCAGCTCAAAGAGGCGGCACAAAATGCCCACAAGGTCAAGCCGGTGCCTGGGAAGGCCAATGGTGTCCTGCTGCTGAACCAGAGCATTTGCATCAAGGCCTACTTTGGATTCATGTCCTTCCTGGGCAACTCCAACAAACTGGGCTACTGCGTGGCGCGGGGAAACCTCGGCTTTTAGCTCGCTTTCATGGTACTTGAATTCATTTCTTCACCTTTCTGCAGTTTCTGCTGACTCCGGAATTGGTTTTCTGATTCGGACCGGATCCACTGGTCAGTGCCAACCCATGTTGGCATACCAGTAGTTTAATTTTAGAATTATGCAAACAAATATACTGTGCAGTGAACCCCCTATTCGCAAGGGATCGGGACAAGTCTGGTATACAGTATGGCAATGTAGAAGGGGACGGACCCAGTTTCTCAAAAAAAGTACACAACAGAAGCAATTTGGATGCCCCAAGATGAAAGCAAAGCAATAATTTTATTGCTTCAGCCTGCGCGCAAAAACCGTGAAAATGTGAATTTTTCAGCAAATAAATGAGACTAGGTTCCCAAACACTTCCACCGCATATGCGAATGCCGCACTGTGAATATGCGGGTGTTCACTACTCACCAAATGTGCTTAGCATAGTTTGGTCTACAATTAAAATTAAACAAATACATCATTATGTAAAACAGGGAGGAGACGGTTTCGCTTGTACTTTCCATGCTAGTCGTTTATGTTAGCATTTGCGCTACATGCTGTTTAAAGTAGACACTCGCTAATAATTTGTGCATGTCACTGACGTTTTATGATCTGTGTTTTTTTTTTTTTCCGTTTGAAATTTTAGTGTTGAAATAAAATTCGGTAGGAAAAAGAACATCACTTTTGCTGGTCTTAATTTTATTGTTTGTATTAAAAAAAACAAGAACCAGAAAAGGCCAACTTAAATGCATTTTAAATACCAGTTTTGCTGTCTTTGGTTTGACTTTGACTTTTCCGCCGCTGCTAGTGCTGCACTTTCTTCTTCTCCTGTTTACACCGTACTGGCATGCTAATTTGTCTCTCTGTCACAGTGGGGGACTCCTTTCTTCCTCTCACTGCATCTCACATAAAAAGTTACTCAGCACGCGGTTCACCCTCCTTCGAGATCCACCCCAAGCACAGAGGGGGGTGCGGTTGTCATTTTAGCTTTATATTTATAAACATAGAATTGTTTGTGTATTTTTTACACAGGCATGCTTGTGTGTTTTGAACTGCGCTGCTGCTGCGTTTGTGTCTGCTGAGAATCCTGGCAGCTGCTGTCCTATTCACACCAAAAATGAAGCTAGTTTTGTGACGACAAATCTAAATTTGTTTACTGTGCATTTTTTTTTTTTTGTTCCACAGAATGTGTGTGTTTAGTTACACAAGGTTGATGAGGTTAGTTGATGAGTTTTTACTGGGTGATGTTCTTTTTCTATGTGCAGTGCAAAAACGTCTGACCAGCCGGTCTTTTGATTACAAATATACGTTTGTCTTGTTGTGTAATTTTTACACGGAATTTGTGTTTTCACTAGGTGACGCTCCGTTTCTCTCCTGACTTTCGCGGCAGCTGCTGTCCCACTTTTACTCGACGTTGAGCAACCTTGTCATTACAAATATTCAACCGGTGTGTATTTTGTAAGTTAAAAAAAAATAAATAAATCACACTGCGTTACTGACTTAAGTACAGTCAAACCTCGGTTTTCGAACGTCTCTGTTCTCGACCAAATCGGTTTTCGACCAAAAATTTTCGATTTTTTTATGCCTTGGATGACGACCGAATTTCGGTTCTCGAACAAACCGAGCGCACTTGAATGCGTCACTTGACTCCTCTCGCCTTCCTTACATGAGGAAGTGACGGTTTTCGAACAGCCTTCTGGAACGGATTATGGTTGAAAACCGAGGTATGACTGTATTTACTTTTCACTGCTTTTTGTGTGACTTAAAATCTTGGGGCTACTATCATACTGTCATGGCATTTTTTTTTCTTTGGCACAAATATTTTGGATTTGTTCTGTATCCATTCAGACCTTGCAAGGTACATTCCAAATAAATAAGGCATCATCGACAATTGTTAGGTTATGACACACGTTTGTTTCATTTGTTGTTATGGGAAGGATAAAGTGGGTATTTTGTTCCAGTAAAGCAGATATTGTTTGTCTGTGTTCAGAGCTTCAATAAATCACACAAAAAAAAGCATAATAAGGATGTCTGGTTTTGATTTGACTGTAGCAAATTTATTAAATAGTGTATTGAATTTATAAAATGTAAAAAAAAATGTCCAATGACGAACATACAATTGTTTGTTGTGTAATTTTCCATGGATCTTGGTTTCTTCTGGGAGATGTTTCCAACACAGGAGCTGATTTCCCACCAATATTTAACAGTGGGTGCCATCTTGATCAGACATATGCAATTGTGTTCTCTCTCTCTCTTTTTCTCTCTCTCAACAGGAAACGAGGTTAAGTACCTTAAGGAGCCTGTCTCCAGCTGTAGCTCCACAAGGCAAAGTAACAGGTAAGAGTTCAGCACCCGTGTATCGAGTATCAGCACCCGAGGGGGGCCGCAGAGTGGGTTTAACCTGTTTCCTCCCAGAGTGAGGTCGCGTCTCTCATGTGGGATCGAGCTCTTTTGCGTCCTTTGCTCTGGCCCCGAGCTTAACACCTTGTCTATACATCTTGTTGTGCGTCACCTCTACGGGTTGTAAAAGATGTTCACCACGCCGATGTTGACTGCGCCCA